TTTCCTCAGGATGCGAGGTCCACTGGCCACTGAACCCCAGGGGAGAAGTACGGAGACAGCGAAAGCTAGGATGTCCATGAGTCGGTGACAAGGGAGTGCTGCCCCCCAGAGAGATTGGGCCACCGGTAGTGACACAAGAGTCAAGACTCGGCTTAGTCTGTGCTACAGCTTTATTCTCTGAGACCCAGCTCTCTGTGTCCCAATTCTCTGCAGCCCAATTCTCTGCAGCCCAATTCTCTGACTATTAAAAGAATACTAAGACATTTATACCATGGGGGTAGTGGTAAAAGCTTTGGCTGTTAGATGCTTTGTGAGGCATTCTATTTACATATGGAAGTGGGTTTCTGCCAGACTGCTGTCTGCCTGGAGAAATTACAGGAAGGCATGGTACCTTTCAGAGCCAAAGGCCATGTTTATGTTATGGCATTTGTGGCGGACACTTCAAAAGGAGAGACAGGAAAGATGCCAGGAAGACACCCTGCTATGAAAGGAGCCCTCAGCACATGATCCCGAGCTGCATGAGCTGTCCAGTCGTGAAGGGACTTCTACTTTGCATAACAGAGGTCTCCAACAATATTACAGTTTGTTTTTTACTTCATTTTGGATGTATGCTGGTGGTTCTTAAAGTTGCTGTTTGTAGGCCTCTGTTTTTCTTCTAAAGGAAGTGCAACCTCTCCTTAGAGTCCCAGATTAGAAAGCAAGCTGGCTCTTAGACCTTTCTTAGTCATTATCCTTCTTACTGTTATGGTTTAGATATGAAGCATTCCTACAACCTTTTCCCCCAAGACTCCTGTATTGAAGTCTTGGTCTCTAAATGGAAGTGATATTCAGAAGTAGATCTTAGCCAGGCGTGGTGATGCTCACCATTAATCTTGGCACTTTGGAGGCAGAGGCAGGCAATCTCCGAGTTCAAGGCTAGCCTAGTCTACATAGTGAAACTCTCAAAAACAGAAAGTTGGAGCTGGAGAGATGAGTCTGTGTTTAAGAGCCCTGACTGCTCTTGCAGAGGACCCGGGTTCGATTCCCAGCACCCACATGGCGGCTATGAACCATTCTTAACTCCAGTTCCAGAGGAATCTGAAGCCCTCTTCTGACCTCCACAGCATTGCATGACATGGGTGCACTCACATACATGCAGGCAATACATTCATACAGATAAAAACAATAAATAAAAAAACAACAAAAACCAGAGTGGATCTTTTGGATCATGAGGCTCATCATCAATGGACTAATCCATTGATGGATTCAAAGCTTTAAAAGACTATTGGAGGTGGTGGAGCTGTGGAAGGAAGTGGGTCACTGAGGGCAGGTTCTGGAATGCTAAACTTTACTCCCAGCTACATCTTCTACTGTTTCCCGGCTGCCTGTTTAACCATGCCCTTCTGCCAGGATGCTCCACCTCACCAAGGCCTTGAAACTACAGAACTAAAATTAATCCTTCCTGCCTTAAGTTGTTTTTCTCAGGTATTTTGTCACAGTGATGAAAACTCTGACCAGCACACATATATGTCATTCTGAAACCAAAACCTGAATCCCTTGTCTCCCTTAAACATGTTCTGCTCTTCCTTTGTTCCCTACCTTGGCTCATTACCTTAAAAAAACACCCAGTTTCCTAAGTCAGTAACCTCTCAGTCAGCCTTAGTCTCACCCCTCCTCTAACTCTTCTTTCTTACTCTCTAATATCCCTCTATTCAGTGGGTTCTGAATCTACGTTTGTCGCGAGCATCAGGGTCCCCGTACGGGCCACCATTTGTCGCGAGCATCAGGTTCCCCGTACGGGCCACCATTTGTCGCGAGCCGGGACTCTGTCCAGCAGAGTCCCGGAAAGACGACACAGACACCAAGGTGAGGTTCAAGCTTCTGTTTCTCTTGCATCCTTTATTCTCTCTCTTTCATTATCTCATACACTATGATGCTGCTTCTGTTCTGTTCTATTCTATTATATCTCTCACTTCATTCTCTCTCACTATGATGCTGTTCGTAGGTCTTTCTATTACACACCTCAGTTCTTTATATAGCATTTCCAACAGCCCTCCCCCCAGCCGGTACCAATCAGGGCTCACACACGTGCAGCGGCCAGGCAGAGTGTAGCCCATAGGCACGTAGCAAGATCATCAGGCTGGCAGCACCTGTTTTGGGGCTCACCATACTTCAGAGTTGGGGTAAACAAGCGGGATTCACGAGCCTTGGCAATCAGCCAAGAGTTGGAGTAAACAGCACGAGGTTTGGCAGCCAGCCAGGGCTCCATCTTTGGCTGGCTCGGCTGTGCTCGCTTCCCACATACGTTATTTTTTTTTTCTTAAGACCACTATCACTTCTTTTCTCAAAATTGCCATGATACTAATTTCAATACAAATTGCTTGATTCCTCAGGTCAATTTATGCTTGGGGATTGTATTGATGCAGTTTCCTACTATTCACATAGCCTGGAAAGCAAAAATTACCTGTAAAGTCAAGGGGGGGGGGAGGAGATTCAGAATACCAATCAGAATTGGTCAAGGAATTTACAGAAATACATTTAAACACTTTCTTTCAGTGTAATTATTGTAGTCTCTCCAGTACTGTGAATTTTTCACACTAACAGCTTTCTCAAAAATGGTATTTCTCTTAAACTTATGCCTGTACCATAGGTTGTAATAAGGATGAGCTGAGTTCATAAATGGAGCTTTACTATGGAGGATACCAAAAAAGCAATCAGGACTCTTTATTTTCTTTTGAAAAATGTTATTTATTATTTTTATTTTATTTTTATAAGTGCATTGCCTGCATGTGTGTAAGTACACGCAGTGCCCACAGAGGTGAGAAGAGGTCATAGAATCCCCTGGAACTGGAGTTATGGATAGTTGTCAGCCAACATATGGGTCTTGGGAACCAAACTCAGGTCCTCTAAAAGAGCATCTAGTGCTCTTAATCACTGGGCCATCTCTCCAGTCCCTTGATTATTTTCTATTCATCCTAAAACTGGTATTATTCTAAAATGAAGGTAAACACAGTGGATAGAACATCTTCTCTGAAATGCCTTTCTTCTCCCCTCTCCCTCCTCTGCTGTCCCCTCTCCTTTACTTTTCTTTCTTCCCTTCCCTTCCCTTCTCTCCTCCTCCTCCTCCCCCCCTCCTCCTCTTCCTCCTTTCTGCCTCTCTCTCTCTCTCTCTCTCTCTCTCTCTCTCTGCAAATCTTCCTGCCTCCGTTTCCCAAGTGCTGGGATTACAAGTGTGCCACCCCTACTAGCTCTGAAATGTCTCTAGTGGAGGAATTTGGTACCTGAACAGTGTCCTTTGGAGCTAGATGTGGTGACCCTGTGCACTCTAGAAGCTAAGGCAGGAGGTTTCAAGAATTCCAGGCTAGAGCTTAGAATACAGCTCAGTGGTAGAGTGCTTGCCTAGCATGCATGAGTTCATAAAGTCAATTCTCAGCACTGAAAAGAAAGAAAGAAAGAAAGAAAGAAAGAAAGAAAGAAAGAAAGAAAGAAAGAAAGAAAGAAAAATTCTAGTGCAGGGCAGTCTGGGCTACATAATAAGACCCTATTTTAAAAAGAACAACAAAATTATAATAATCTCTGGGACTAGAGAGATGGTTTAGTGGTTAAGAGCACTGGCTGCTCTTGCAGAAGACCCCGGTTCAATTCCCAGTACCCACGTTATGGCTAACAACTATTGTAACTCCAGTTCCAGGGGATCCGACGCCCTCTTCTGACCTCCAAGGACACTGCATGACATGGATGCACTTACATATATGCAGGCATTACACTCATACACGTAAAATAAAAATAAATAATAATCTCTGCATGGAAGTCTTTCAAATTATGTAGAGGCAAAGTATTCTGTATTTAGAAACTGTTCTTAATACTATGTACAAACACTATTTTTTTATTATTTACTTATGTGTCTGTATGTACACATGTGTGCAAGTGTCCCCCAAGGCCAGAACAGGATGTCAGATCCCCTGGAACTGGAGTTACATGTAGTTGTTACCCACCCACTGTGGGTGATGGGAACCAAACTCAGGTCCTCTGGAAGAGCAGCAAGCACTTTCAACCACTGAGCCATTTCTGAAGCCCCCCAAACACTATTTTAGAATATAAATACATAAAGAAGCCTAAATTTTGCAAAAGATTCTTCTGTGTAAAAATATGGTTTGACTCCGGCGGCTTATACTGAGTTCAATATTGTATAACTGTATTAATTCAACTGTGAACCTAGAAACTTGCACACCCACTTGTAAGAGATGTACTCTTGCTCTGGAGTGTGTTACTGAATATGTTAAAGCTGTAGTGAAATGCTTCTTCTAATCTTATTAAAAATAAAAAATGATAAAAAATAATAATTCATCAAAGCATAAAAAAATATAGTTTCATAAATTGTTCTCAGCTCTCATAACTCAACTCTCACACGGGAGTATTGGTTTCAATGCCAAAAAATGTCATCTAGTTTTTCCCTCATTTTACAGATAGCAAAACAAAAGTTGAAGAGATAAGTTAGCTCCTGTAGGTCAGGCAGAGTGAAAAGTAGAAATATTTTTTGTCTCTGTATTCAAATCTAAACATCTAAATTGGACACAAACTATGAGGTAATCAATCAGTTTGTTCAGACTCCTACAGGCTCACTCACATCATACGAACCATGTGAAGGCAGCAGTAAGTGGCATTTGATCAGGATTCCGTGCTTCAGTCTTGGCCTTCTGCATAATTTGGGTGGGGGTGGGATTAAGTAAGGCAGTTTCGACCCCTGTGCGGGAACGCTTAAATTTCCTGACACTAGGTGGCGCAAGATTTTATATCGTTCTTAAAGCAACCTAGAGTCACTTACCGGAAGTTCCCTTGCCCCTAACAAAGATGGCGCCTGATAGCAAGCCCCAATCGGCACCGTGTAGGGGCGGTGCTGTTCGCTCTTCCCAGAAGTCTTGTCCGCCGACAGCTCTGGCGTAGCCAATCAGAGCGGCCTCACCGGCGCACGCGTTGACCTCAGAGGCGGGCTGAATCCAGTTGGAATTTTGGCGGGTTCCGCCTTGGCCTGAGAAGAGGAGCCGGCCGTGTGAGCATTGTGGGCTGTCGGGGATCCGGGGCTTATGGGTTCCTGCGGGACTGGCGTCCGCGAAGGACTCGAGGTCTAAGCATGAGACTTGGCGCCCCGAAGGCTCGGGCGGGCGAGATGGCAGCGGGTGGCCTCCAGCCGTGGCTGGGAACAGGGAAGCCGGGGCTGGAAGATGCAGGGGTCGTCTGCTGAAGGAACCTGTTCTGGTGTATTTTACTTCTTTTTTAAAGAAGATAATTTGTTTTTTTTTTTTTTTAAATTTTATGTGTGAGCGTACTGCCTTAATGTGTGTAAGTCGTGGTCTTACGGAGTGGAGTTACGGACGTATGTAAGTCGCCCAGTGGGTGCTGGGAATCGAACCCAGGTCCTCTGCAAGAGCAGCCAGTGCTCTTAACCACTGAACCATCTCTCCAGCCCAGTGTCGTGCTTCTTTTTTCAGGGCACCCTTTTATTTCCTTTTTTTTTTTTTTTTAAGAAAATGTCTCCCCGTAGCCACAGCTGACCCGGAGCTCACGTGTGGGTGGGCAGTCTGGCTCAGTGTGTTGGGGTGGTCAGACTGGGTTGGCTCCAGCACCATGCAGGCGCAGCCAGATTCTACTGGTGCTTCTGGCCAGTTTGCCAGAATGAATTTGAGGCTAGCCTGAGGGTTTTTTTTTTTTTTTAATTTTATTTATTACTTTTATTTTATGTGTATGTGTGTATTGCCTGCATGTAGGTAAGTGCACCCATGTTGTGTAAAGCCTGTGGAGGACAAAAGAGTCTGTCAGATCCCCTGGAACTGGAGTCTCGGACAGTTGTTAGCTGCCGTGTGGGTGCTGGGATTTGAACCCCGGTCTTCTGCAAGAACAGTCAGTGTTTCTAACTGCTGAGCCATCTCTCCAGCCCCATAGCCTGAGTTTTGTAAAAGTAGTGAGAGTCTTGTCTCAAAATAAAACACACACACACAGAGATTTACCAAACTGATGTGCCTTTATCCTAATATGTCAAGTGTTCTGTACTTTACCAACTCGTATTGCATTAAAATCCCATCTAAGGGTAAAAAATAAGCAGAATCACATATTAAGCTGCTGTGGATGAAATAGCCATCAGATGCATTATAATAATAAATAAAATGGGATGGTAGCTCTAAAATTTACACCAGTCTCAATAGTTCTTGTTCACACATTGTTGAGTGTATCACACTTACGTTTGGCTGAGTTTCTCTAACCACAATTCGAAGCCAAGAAGAAGGGGACTGCCTATCAGGTTCTGGGTGGATTCTTAGGGTGGAGTCCATAGGATATGTTGCATGTGCCATTGTGAGAAGAATCAAGAATAACTTTTCCAATGTTGGTTTCACACAGCCAGGATTCTTCATTACTCCCTTGAGCACCTGATCTGCCATCAAAGTTTCCCATCACAACTCTTTCCTTGGTGATATGGATGGTAAGGCCTTCCCGTTTTATTGATTTCTCTTTTACTCATGGAAAATTACCATTTGGTCCTTCTACTTGTTAATCATTCTACTCCAAAATAGTAAAAGTGTTCACCCACTCTCAGGTGTACTCTCAATGGCTCAAAAGAAATCTCTTCAGTCATTGAATGTTGTTCTTAAACAGGTGCATTTTTTTCTCATTGAAACTGATTGTCCTGTAACACTTCCAGAGGACATATATGTAAAATGTGCCACACATGGCTCTGAGATCCTGATATATCTTAACCAGTTTAATCCTCGCCAACCACTGTATTTTATAATCAGGCAGGAGGTCAAGGATGTTTAGTGACTTGTTGTAGTCAAACTCTAAGAACAAGGAATTGAATTGGGCAGTCTGACTTCAGAGATTACTCTAGATGTGGAAATATTTTGAAGTGGTTTTACTCTAGCGTTGCTCAGCTTCTTGTAGTTCTTTCTTTTGTTTTTTTCAGGGATTTGTGCAAAAACCCAGTAAAGAGATATCGCTCTGATTAGTAACGCTCAATTTAGAGCAGAACAAAATGAGTGCACGTTGTAAAGGGACCTTGACAGAGAGAATGCACTGGTTTGGAGGGTTACATAATCATTAAGCTCACTTCCCGAAACTGGGGTTCTTATGATGCTTTGCCTTTTTTTTTTTTTAAGAGAAATTTTATTGATTCAAAAATTTCATACCATGAATATTGATTATATTTAGACCTCCTCCCCCATCTCCACCCTCACCCTACCACTCTCCCTATCCTCAAATTTGTGTCTTTGCAAATGAAAAACCCCATCCATCTTATATAACACATCTGAGCTGAGCGGCAGAGCAGTCACATCTCGTTAGAGTGGCAGTGATCTGTAATTCTTACCCTTAGGTGTGCCAAAGTAAGGGCCCACTCCCTCTGCTTTGTGCTTGGTTCTGGGTCAGGATATGCCCAGGTTTCTTGGAGTAGGATTTTCATTTTTAATTTCTGTTTCTCTTACACACTTCATAGGAATGTCAAGTAGAGATTTTTCTTTTTCTCAGTGGTCAGAAACACTTTGGTTTTTTTCATCAAAGTTAGCTCTTCACAGCCCTTGTATGCAGGTTACACTTTGGCATTTCCTCTCCTCACTCAGCACAATGACCCCACTGTGTTATCAAGGCAGATCTCCAACAGGCTGATTCCCCTCAGGGCTTTATTGTGGGTAAAAGCAGAAGCTAGGTAGCAGTTAGCTCATTGGTCTCTGATTCAGGATTCTCTTTTAAGAGATAGGTAGTTGAAAGGTTTCACAGCTTCACATAATGGCTTTACACCAGTGTCTTCTAGTTTATGAAATCTGTAGCCTTCTCAGGTTCCTAATGTTGAAGACTGCAGCCAGGTCTTGACAGCCATTGGATGGTGATTATGGTCAGCCCACCATGGGTGCCACCTAGGTACGAATGTTGTGGGTGGGCAGTCTGGCTCTGTGTGGGGTGGTCAGACTGGGTGGGCTCCAGCACCATGCAGGGGCAGCCAGGTTCCGCTGGTGCTTCTGGCCAGTTTGCCAGTGTGGCTCTCCTGGTGTGCATGGCTGGCCAGACTGCCTTAGCACCACCCTGTGGGTGCATATGAATGGCTGGGCCGGTCTCTCTTACCATGTGCACTTCAGCTGTCTTGTCTCCCTAGTTATTATCTCTCTTACTTGCCAAGTCCCAAGTGCCGAATTTTTAGATCAGTATAGAAGCATCAGGATTCTTAATGGGACGAAGAGGCCTTAAGTCATGTTTCTAGGTTAGTATGCTGGGAATTGCTCCAGCACCACCATCTCGGCTTTCCCATTGTTTTCTTTTTTCTTTTTTTCAACCCTGTGAAAGATTTATTTTAAAGACAGTTCTATTTGAAACTAAAATATCTTTTTTTCTTAACAATTTTAACAGAAGGAAATGAGAAAAAAAAGAAAAAAACTGCTTTCTAGTATAGGACAATTTCCTTTGTTTAGAATAGTTCTCTTTTGGGGGGGGTCTTTTGGGGTTTTGTTTTTTTTTTTTTGGAGACAGGGTCTCCCTGTAGCCCCAGCTGTCCTGGAACTCACTATGTGGACCAGGCTGGCCTTGAACTCACACAGATCCATCTGCCTCCCAAATGCTGGAATTAAAGGTGTGTACCACCATGGCCTGGCCCTTAGGTATGAGTATTTTAAAGTGTTGGATGCCTATTTGTTATTGGTATGTATCAGTTTAGAACCAGACCAGTCAGCATGGAAGCATGTCTGTCTCCAGCAACACAGCTGACTTAGAGGTAGCATTTGGTTAAATTTAGTCAGGGTAAAGATTTTGTCAGAGAACAAACATAAGAAAGAGAGAAGCAGGAGAGTTCAGAGTCTAGAAAGCAGTGACTATAATGATAAAAATAGATCTCTCTCAAAAAGCTTGTAGAGATGCCCAGATTTTTGCTATCCATCACTAAAGATAGAAGGACACTTGCTAGGATCTGAGTTCCAGAGAGCAGGTGTCAGAGGTTTGGGAACAAGGAGGCAGGACAGTTGAGTCAACATAGCGTGGAGACTAGAGATGACTTTTGGTGGTACTCCAGGTAACCAGGTAGGAGTCATTATGGGATTAGCCCTAGTAATTTCAAAAAATAAGAAGAGGAACATGGAGCTACCAGGCAGCATTTCACCTGTGCACCAAGGAGTATACTAAAGTCTAAATCTATATTTAAGTGCTTTTCATTTATTCCCTTATTGGTCAAATTTTATAGAAGTTGGTACTAAACCAAGTTGGCTTATCAAAGTAGTGTGGGTAAAAAGATTTAGCCCAGTGTCCTAAGAAGCATCCATGGACAGGAAAAATAGATAAAACGATAGATACATAAGACAAAGTGAGAAATCTGTAAATTCGTTTAAACCGTTGTGTTTGTGTTGAATGCATGAGTTAGCTATGTATGTTTCCCCAGGTAGACTCTCTCATTTCTTCTCCATTTTCTCTAGTGGAGGAAGATGATTTGTCTCTGCTGACATCGCTGCTGGAGGAGAATGAGTCAGCCTTGAATTGTAATTCAGAAGAGGCTAACTCCTTGTCCCTGGAAAATGGTGAGCCAGATGAATTTGATGAGCTTTTTGATGCTGATGGTGATGGTGAATCTTACACAGAAGAGGCTGATGACAGAGAAGTGATAAAAGCAGAAGACCAGAAGGAGAACTTGGCCACTCTCTTTGGAGATGTAGGGGACTTAACAGATGATGAAGTACCTACTTTGCAAGTTGAAAACAAAGTCCTCCCTGCTCCTGCTCCCTGTCAAGAGAAAACCAATCAGGAGTTGCAAGGTACCCTGATCACTTGTTTTCTTCAACTTTTTATGACAAAGTAAATGAAAACTGCAAGTCTGACAGTTTTCATCAAAATAGCTGTAGATTCAAGGGTGGTGATAAATGCTTAGTAAAGACTAGTAATTGGGGCTAGAGAGATGGCTCAAATGATAGAGTGCCTGTTGTACAAACTTGGGACCTGAATTTGGATCCCCACACCCACATAGAAGTTGGGTGCTGTTGTGTGCATCTGTAAGCACACTGTAGGGGTTATACTGAACCCCTGGTGTTTATTGGTCAGCAAGCCTAACAGAATCTGTGAGCTCTAGGCTCAGTGAGAGACACTCCCAAAAAACTAAGATGAGCAGTCAAGGAAGACACCTTTGGCCCCTATGCATACACTCATGCACACGCATACATAGACCCAAAATTTGTATGAATTGGTAGGTGCACCATTTAAAGTCAACAGTTCAGCATTCAGGGGCCTCCTTACAACCTTATCAGCTAATCATAATCAGTCTTCTGCAGAACAGCTTTGGCACTGTCCATGTTTCCTGCAGAATATGTTGCTTTCGGATTTATGTGCATGGGAAGACAGGCTGCAGTCTAAGCAAGACCATTCCTGAACTGCAGCTTTGAGGCATGTCCCTTTCTTCATCATCTCGTCATATTTTTAAGTTATAACCAGATTCAGTGGTTGACTTTTTTCTAATACAGGAGCTAACATCATATTAGTTATGATATTTCAATTTGTAAGGTAAACATCATTGTTTGACTCCTATAAACCTGTTAACTACAGAACTGCATCTGGGATGTGTGTTAGTAGTACAAATTTCTCTTCTGTTTTTGTTTTTGAGGCAGGGTCTTACTATGTAGCCCAGGCTGACCTCAGTTTCTGCACAGTTCAGCCTCCTGAGATCTGGGATTACAGGTGTGCACCACCATGCCCAGCCAGTAGTATAAGTTTGTAACTAGCACAGGTGTCAAAGGCTTGGTTATTAAAGATAAAAAGTTTGTTTCTTGGGACTGGAGAGATGACTCAATGTTTAAAGCATACTGGCTGCTTTTGAAGAAGATCTGGTTTCAGTTCCCAGTATCCACATGGCAGCTAACAGCATCTGTAACTCCAGCTCCAGGGGAATCCAACACCCTCTTCTGGCCTCTGCAGGCAAAACATTCGTATATATAAAACTAAATAATTTTTTTTAAGTTTATTTCTCTAAGGACCCTTTTTGAAGTATAAAAGTTAATCATGAGCCAGTGTTTGTATCAGGGATGGCATTCTCTCCCAACTTATTTTTAATGTTTTTATTTTGCAGATGAAGTAAAGAAGTTGCAAGAACAGATGACACTCTTACAGGAGCAGCTAAAAGCAGTATCAGTTAAACAGCTTTCAAGTTCAGCCCTTCCACACAAATCCCCTGGTAATAAAACCACAATTCTAGCAATACTATAAATTTTCGTTATCTAGAAACTATAGCATTGCTGTTTTTATCCAGCTCCTGTCAAAATAGCCTTTGAGCCCCTCTAAACTGGCTTTACTAATTTCTCTTCTTTCCAATCAAGAAAGTAAGTCTCCACCATCCCCTCTTAAGAAGAAAGTTCAGCACATTCAGGAGTCAGCATGCTTTTCTGCAGAGCTTGATATCCCTGCTCTACCCAGAACCAAGCGAATGGCACGGATGCCAAAGACTTCGACAGGTGTGGTACTCAATGCTTCACTGGGTCTCATTGCTCTAGCTCTATTGAAAATATGTTGTGGCACTGCAGTACTCGTGTGTGTATGGATGTGTGTCTGTCTAGTTTTGGTCTGTCTTAGCTCCCTATCAAGAAGAGTTACTGGGACTGGAGAGATGGCTCAGCAGTTAAGAGCACTGGCTGCTCTTGCAGAGGAACCAGGTTCAATTCCCAGCACCCATGTGGTGGCTAACAACCATCCATAACTCCAGTTCTAGGGAATCTGACTCTGATGCCCTCTTCTGACCTCCACAGGCATTGCAGGACACAGGTACACTTATATACATGCAGACAAGGCACTCATACACATAAAATAATAAATAAAATTTAAAAAAGAAGAGTTAGTTTCTCAGGAATGGAAGCTGTATGATATACTTTGTTCTTCTGTGTCTGAAAAGTACTTAGTAGAACATCCTATAATATGATAACTTTACCTGCTTAGACTGTAGCTCATATAACTCTTGGGTTGAGTTTGTGTGTATGATGCATGTTTATGTGAGTACATGTATGTGTGTGCATATACACATATGTGGGCATGTATGTGGAAGCCAGAGGCCAATCTCAGTGTTCTTCAAGTGTTGTCTGCCTTATTTATTTATTTATTTATTTATTTATTTATTTATTTATTTTTATCTTTTTGAGACAGGGAGTCCCTGTAGCCCCAGCTCGCCTGGATTCACAATGGAGCCAGGCTGGCGTCAAACTCAGAGAGCCACCTGCCTCTGCCTCTGCAGTGCTGGGACTAAAGGCCTTCACACCTGGCTATTGAGACAGGATCTCTCACTGAACTGGAGCTCAACGTGTAGGCTAGGCTGACTGACTACAAGTCCTGGGGGCCCACTGTGTTTGCCTCTCCCCAGCAGTGGGATTACAAATGTGTACTATGCTCAGCTGTTTCTTTCTTTTTTTTTTTTTTCTTACATTTACTCTGGGGATGTGAGCTCAGGTCCTCATGCTTACATTACTGACACAGTCATTTCCCCAACTCGTAGATTGAATCTTTATGCTGGAAATCTGGACATGTAATCTTTAGACTTGTGAGATGAAAGCACATAGTCTCTTATGAAATCATCAAATTGTATCTGAAGTTATGCTGTATTGAGCTAGGGGATCCATTCTTTAGAAAAAGCTTATTTGCAAGCCGGGCGTGGTGGTACAGGCCTTTAGTCCCAGCAGAGGCAGTGTGATTTCTGTGAGTTCAAGCCTAGCCTGGTCTCCATAGAGAGTTCCAGGTCACCTGGGGGCTACAAAAAAAAAAAAAAAAAAAAAAACCCAAAACAAAAGAAAAGCTTATTTGCCAGGAGCATAGAGTAGTAACCAAATGTCTATTCACAAGGAACACATGAAAATTATTTCTTGGCCCTTGTATTGGTTTTCTTATACTGCCTCACTTTGCTCAAAAGACCCAATACAAATGATCTAAGGATAACAGGTGAGACAGTGTTTTATTGGCCACATTTATTCAAAAAGGCCCTCTTGAATAGCTTTGGCCTAGCTCACAGTAGTAAATGATGGCTACAGCATTGGAGTGTTCATACTAATTGAATAGCAGATTATCTGTTCAATTTACCCACTTCTGAGTGGTACAGTTCCTCAAGACTTGGAATTACTAAGGTATTTCATTTTAGCAGTGTCCATATTAGGTTTTGCATGAGTGGGACTTCTAGGGTTGTGGCAACCCCTTAGCCTGGGAGCAATGATCCAAAGTCTTTTGGTGGTAAACAACAACCTTATCAAAGAGAATGTGATATTTTATTATGCACTAGACCTAAGCTTTCTGATATTTGCACATACTGTAAACAATTCTAAAATATAAAAACTAACCATATCAGGAGTATTTAATGCATGCATAGTCAGAGTTTCCTGGTGCCCAGTTCACATTCCCACCCCAGAAATAGAATGAAATGGATTGAAATGAAGCAAGAAATAAAGAAGAAAAGGGCATTAACCTTCGTTATTCCCAAGGTAGAATTTGATCTGAGCACAGATCTTACCTAATCCTTTGTTTGGAAGCCAACACAGTACTCATACAGGGTGAATTCACAGCAAAAGTCATTGTATTTAGAATTGCACTCTCTAATACAGTAGCTACTAATTTCATGTGTCTATTTAAATTCACTTTAGAAACATTTTCTTAGATTAGTCACATTTTATGTGACTGATGGCTACATATGCCTGGTGGCTGCCATATTGTCAAACACTAAAACACAATGTTTCTATTGACACAGAAATGTAATGGAGATAGCACTGCTGAGATTTGGAGAGTAGTCAGAAAGTGGTCTTGTTCTCTGTCAAAATTTAGTTATAAGCATCCTTGGTATGTGCCTGTAATTCCGGCATTTGGATTAACATAAATTTTAGGCCATCCTTGGCTACATAGTGAGACTCAGTCTCAAAACAACAAAAACTATCCTAGGGGCTGGAGACATGGCTCAGCTGTTAAGAGTACTGGCTGTTCTTACAGAGGACCTGGGTTCAGTTCCCAGCACCCAGATGGAGGCTAACAGCTGTCCTAACCTCCAGTTCCAGGAGATCTGACACCCTCTTCTGGCCTCCTCAGGCATTGTACAACATGAATGCAGGCAGAACACTCATACACATACACATAAAAGTAAATAAATAAAAACTATCCTATATGTTGATTGCAAAAAAGTATTCTGTAAACAAGTTTTGTGCTTCTTGGTCATTTTCCTTTCACTTATGTTAATTTTCTAGAATCTAAAGGCTCACCTTCAAGGAGGACAAGTGCACCCTCCCAATCACAACAGGCTATATCCAGTATTTTGAAGCTCAAAAGCTCATCTTCAAAGACAGCAAGCATATCTTCCCAACCACTGCAAGCTATTCCTGGCAACAAACACAGTGGGATGACTAGAAATCAGAATTCAGGCACCCTTAGGAATTCTGGGGAACAGGTTCCACAGGGTTCCCAGGTCTCCGTGGAAGCCTTCTCAGGCTTGCGGCTCAGGTCAGTGACTGTAACATCCTTTTCCGTCCCTTTATCTGTACCGCTGCAATGCCCTTCTTCCTGTCAGAAGATGAGTCTTCTAGAAGCAGAGTGTGTGCAGCAGATTCACAAAATAGCAGAACTGGGTTTAACTCAGTACTATATGGTATGAATTGCTTAAGGAACACTTATTCTTTTTGTTTTCTATTTTAAGTTTTTTATTTTATTATTTTTATTTTATGTGTTATAAGTGTACCCATGTCATGCAATGCCCACAAAAGTCAGAAGAGGATGGTCAGATCCCCTGGAACTGGAGTTAATGGACTGTTGTGAGCCCCCATGTGGGAGCTAGGAACCAAACCCAGGTTCTCTGCAAGAGCGGCCAGTGCTCTTAACTGCTGAGCCATCTCTCCAGCCAAGGAACGTCTATTCTTGTTTGCATAATAAAAAATATTTAACCTGTCAAAAGGAAATGGGCAAGTATTTTATCAGAAATTGGTGGACAGAAACAGCGATACAGATTTTATTATAAATTTTTCCATCTTTAGATGCAATTTATACTATTTTTATTTTATGCAGCATTGGGATCATAAACTATTTTTTAAACATATAAAGATAGACAGGTCAGGTGTGGTAGTACATGCCAGAAATCTCCATACTCAGGAGGTTGAAGCAGGAAGATTGAGAGTTTTGAGGCTAGCCTGTGCTGCTACGTGGTGATTTCCAGCCCAGCCTGAGCTACAAAGTGAAATGCTATCTCAAAAGCAAAAGAAATTTAAAAAACAAAGGCAATAGCATCTTATAATTATTGTAATAAGATAATAAAAGATTTTAAGGTACTCTTTAAGAAAAATATCCAGGGAAAAGCAAATTTCACTTTAAAAATTATAATTATTTTTTTTTAATCTGCTCTAGAAAATGTATAAATGTATGTAATCTTAGCACTCAAGGGGCTAAAGTGAGTTCCAGGCTAACCTGGGCTACATAGTCTAGTAAGATCCTATTCCAAGAAACCAAAACTAAAATGTTTGCTTTGTCCATACTGTGTAAGTCCTCTGAAGTACAGTAGAGGTTTCTGCCTGTCACCTTCCCCTGACCATCCGGTAGTCTGTTACTAGAATAATAACCCGTTGATTTCTGACTTCTTGACCCAGACGACCTCGAGTATCTTCCACAGAAATGAACAAAAAAATGACAGGTCGGAAACTGATCAGGCTGTCTCAGATCAAGGAGAAGATGGCACGTGAGAAGCTAGAAGAAGTGGACTGGGTGACATTTGGGGTGATACTGAAGAAAGTCACTCCTCAGAGCACTAACAGTGTAAGCGACTTTAGTGATTCCTAAACTGCTCCATCACCTCAGGCCAACAGTGGGGTCTCTAGCCCTTAATTTGCCACCTGTTAATAGTTTTCTTTGAAATAACTTTTAATTGCCACATGTCTTTAGGTTGGTATTCAAGGGCAATGTAAAGAACTCTCTACTTAGACCTAGCTGGACTTTGCATCACCCAGTCATTCTTACTACAGTTCAGTTGTCACTGCTTTTAGTGGCACATGTGTTTGTCCCTGTGACCACTATAATCCCAGCTGTGGGGGGAGAAGGCTAACTACTTAGGGAGGCTAAGTCCACAGATTCCTATAGCCATAACAATTCAGAGATGCTGAGATTGCTAGCCCATCCCAACATGGTATAGTTAGATGGTGGTTAATAATAGTCACTAATAAATAGTAGATTTACCAAATTAGTTATTCCTGGCAGGGTGTGGTGGCCCATGCCTTCTATTACAACACTCGGGGGGCAAAGGCTGGCAGATCTCTGATATCAATACCAACCTGGTCTACATAGCAAGTTCCAGGCCAGCTGGGGCTACAGGGAGACCCTGTCTCACAAAGACAAAAAAGGCAAAATTAGTTATTCCTGTAATCAGCATGTTATTAAATGATAGTGCCATTAATGTGCTTGGGGGGGGGTTATTGCACATAAACATAATTCTGTGGTTGGGACGGTAGCTCACCTGCTATTTAGACTTGACAGATTCTCTAACAGTTTACTTGTGGTTTGCCTTCTATTATCTTCACCTCTGAAATGAGATAGGCAGCAAAACACTAAAACTCAAGGAAAGTATTAGTTTATAATTCACAGGCATTCTGATGACCATATATTTAGGATTAACTCTATATATTTTCCCACAATAAGATGAACCATAAATGGAGACACTGTAAGCCATGGTTCCAAAAATGGTTAAAAGTAACACTGTTCATTCTAGGGAAAAACGTTTAGCATCTGGAGACTGAATGATCTACGTGACCTGACACAGCATATATCATTGTTCTTATTTGGAGACGTTCACAAAGATCTCTGGAAGACAGAGCAAGGGACTGTCATAGGGTTGCTCAACGCTAATCCCATGAAGCCCAGAGATGGCTCTGAAGAGGTAAGACTCAAATTAGATTGGTTGGTTGACAAGTTAGCTTTTCTATCAAACATTTGAGTTATTCTACCTCTGAGGTTTATATTGGTATGTCCCCATTATTATGGCTCTTAATCTGTTGACACATTTCCTACTGATACCTGTGATTCTACCTATTCTGAATGGGTTTGTATCTATTTTCACTAGATTTTTTTCAAATTAGTTCCAAGGTTCCTGGAGTTCACTGAACTCCTTTAAAAAAAAAAAAAAATTGTGTGTGTGTGTGTGTGTGTTGTGGTACATGAATAGGGGTCAGAGGACAACTTTACGGAGTCAGTTGGCTCTACCTTTATGTGGGTTCTGGGGATTGAACTCAGGTTGTTAGGTTTACACAGCAAGCACTTTTACCAGCTGAGCCATCTTGCCAGCCCAAGTTTATTGAACTCTTTTTTTTTTTTTTTGGTCTTTTTGTGACAGGGTCTCCCTGTAGCCCCAGCTGTCTTGGAACTTACTATGTAGACCAGGCTGGCCTTGAACTCACAGAGATCCACCTGCCTCTGCCTCCCGAGTGCTGGGATTAAAGGCGTGTGCCACCACATCAGGCTCAAGTTTATTGAACTCTTAGACTTAGGTTTCCTTAGATCTCTTATGTAAATTTCCATGAGTGTATAAAGAGAGCAGTGTGTTACAGTTGAAGAAATTTTGCTCCATTAAATTTTACAGTCACAGCTGGCGTGTAAAGTCGAGTGAATTTTCATCTTAAGCAATACTACAGTTTTGGTGCTACCTGCTGTTTCTCTAGTAAATGGCTCATCTAGACCCATGTAAAGAGCAGTAGGCAATGTTTCTACTCTGACCTAGCAAGGAGCTTTATTTTCACCAGAGAATGGCAACAAATCTTCATTTATTGGTTTGTGTTTGGCCACATATAACAGAAAAAAATGCAGTAGCATTTCATTTAGTTTCTTTTTAACAACCAGTGGATTTAGTTATTCATACCTATAATCCCAGCAGTCAGGAGGCCAAGGCAAGGGGATTGCCATTAGTTCAGAGTCAGTCTGAGCTATATAACAAGTGCCAGGCCAGCCTATACAAGGTAAAATCCTGTATTATTTTTAAATAAAATGAGGGAGGGTTGTTTGTGTGAGATGTTCTCACTCTGTAGCCCATGCTCACCTTGAATAGCAGCAATCTTCCTGCCTCTGCCTCCCAAATGCTGGGATGACAGGTATAAACTGCCATGCCCAGCTACTATTTTTCTTTTTCCTTTTTCAAAAATTTCTTACCTTCATTTATTTAATGGGGTGGGGCACAAGTATCACATTGCACATGTGGAGGTCAAAGGCCAACTGCAGAATCAGTTCAGTGGCAAGTGCCTTTGCCCACTGAGCCATCTTGCCAGCCCAATTTTTTTTTTTTTTTTTTTTTTGTCTTTTTGAGACAGGGTCTCCCTGTAGCCCCAGCTGACCTGGAGCTCACTATGTAGACCAGGCTGGCCTTGAACTCTCAGAGATCCGCCTGCCTCTGTCTCCCTAGGGCTGGGGTTAAAGGAGTGCTCTACCACGCCCGGCATCAGCCCAATTTTTCTTAAATAAGTCCAGCCTGCTGTTGTGACACATGCCTATAATCCCAGCACTTGCGAGACAGGGATAGGAGGAGGATCACAAGTTTAAGGCCAACATGGGCTACTTGATGAGTTTGGGCCAGCCTTAAGTACATAGACCTTGCCCTCCCCATACAAGAAAAAAAAAAAAAAAATCCCAAACTAGGCAATACAATGATACCATGTCTCTAGTGGCTGCCTTTCTTTCTTGGTCGCAAAGATACCTCTGAAGCTCCTGCCATCACTATGAAGTAGAACACTGCATTTCTCTCCCCTGGGAGGGGAGTACTGTTCACGGGTTACAAATTCTAGGGGAGGAGTCTTAAGCAGTTTGCTAATTTCTGCTAAAATTCCTAGATCAGGCAGGAAGCTTTGATGAGTCCAGTAAGGCAAAGCAGCTTTGTTACTCACAGATAGGCTTTAAGAATCAACAGAAGCCTAGGATCCATAGTGAGCCCATCCCTGATCCTGTGTGGATGGTATCTTGTCTGTCTATGACCAAGTTTGCACCATAGCTGGGGGTTTCAAAAGCTCTCTGGTTTAGATTTTATTACCCAGTAGCCACTGATCTAGTACTTATGATCTAGTGTGGCAGGAATAATAGGGACAGAACCCAGGCTATTCAGGATATTCCTCCTTACCTCAAAACCTCATATTTTTGATAGTTCTGTCTGAGAATTGCCAGCAGAAAATGAGAACTGGGTCATCCAAGGACATTCAGGGACTGTCCTCCTGCCTTTTTATCACTATTCATAGCATGATGAAGAGGATGGGTCAGCCAGGTTGTGTCTTTCTAATATTTTTATTTATTTATTTATTATTATTATTTTTGTTTGTTTGTTTGTTTGTTTGTTTGGTCTTTTTGAGACAGGGTCTCCCTGCAGCCCCAGCTGTCCTGGAACTCACTATGTAGACCAGGCTGGCCTTGAACTCTCAGAGATCCGCCTGCCTCTGCCTCCCGAGTGCTGGGATTAAAGGCGTGTGCCACCACTTATGTGTATGAGTGTTATACCTGTATTCATGTAAGTACACCCGTGCTGTGCAGTGCTTGAGGAGGACAGAAGAGGCTGTGGGATCCCCTGGAACTGGAGTTACGGACAGTTGTTAGCTACTATGAGGGTGCTGGGATTCAAACCCGGGTCTTCTGCAAAAACAGTCAGTGTGCTTAACTGCTGAGCCATCTCTCCAGCCCCAGTTGTCTCTTTAAATTAAAAATTTAATATTCATACATGCATATAATGTGTTTGGATATGGTCCACCCCTCGTTCCCTCCCCTTCAGTTCCTCTTCTACACACACATCTCTTCTCAACTTCATATACTCTCCCTACCCCCTTTCTCTTCTCTTTTTTTTAAATCACTCACTGAGTCCATTTAGTGCTGGCTGGGTGTGTGTGGGTATGGGACCATCTAGGGGAGCTTGGAGGGCCACATCCCTAAAGAAAGTAGCTCTCTGTCTTCAGTAGCCATCATCTGCCAATGGGATATTGGATGGCTTGATCTTGTTCCAGTCCCAGCCGTTTTAAGTTCCAGTAGATACTGTTTTGCTACAGACACCTACTCCTGGCTCTTATAATCTTTCTGCCCCTTCTGAGATGAGCCGGGGGGGGGGGACGACGGGGGCAGGAGATAATAGATGTCCCATTTAGAGCTAAGCACTCCACAGTCTCTTATTCTCTGCACTTGACCAGTTATTGGTTTCTGTCTTAATTGCCATCTACTGCAGAAAGAAGCTCTAATGAGGGTTGAGAAATGTACCAGTCTGGGTGTTAAGAACTTGAGAGGCAGTTTATTACTATATCCATTTAGCTGAATAATAGTACCAGGTTCTCTTCTAGGGCCTATGACCTAGCCAGCCACAATGTTTTTGGCCCAGTTAATCATACCAGTAACCAGTAACTGAATGGGGTCCATCTTATGGAGTAGGCTTTAAATCCAGTCCAAAAGTGATTATGCATAACATTTGGTCCACTATTGCACCAGCAGGCATATCTTGCCAGGCCAGTCATCGCAGCCCACAGGGTTCACAGCTGGGTAAGACTGATGATGACTTTTCCACCCTGTAAGTATGAGTAGAACCTTCCAGCTCTGTAAGCTAGCCAGTAGGAATAGAGCTTCTAGGTTGGTATCAGCTTCATTTCTCTGTGTCCTAAAACTCAGATATGAGGTGTCTTCAAGAATAGGGTCTTACCAACAAGTTCCAGACAGTAACCAAGAGCAATGGCAATAGCGTGTACTGTTAGGGGAGGGAGTTCCTATGAGACCCCACTGAACAACAACTTGAGAAATCCATACCTGATACTGGGCTTTTTGTTTGATAGCCAAGGTTGTCTGATAAGAGGCATTGTCTCCCCTGTTAAAAGGTAACTTCATTTTTTATTTTTTTATATTTTATTATTTTTATTTTATGTTTGAGTGCATTGCCTGCATGTATGTAAGTGCACTCCTGTTGTGCAGTGCCCATGGAGGTCAGAAAAGGGCGTTGACTTCCCCTGGAACTGGAGTTGTTATCTGCTATGTGGGTGCTAGGAATCAAACCTGGGTTCTCTACAAGAGCAGCCAGTGCTCTTAACTGAGCCATCTCTCCAGCCCCAATTCATTTATATATGTATATATTTTACAAAGGTTTCCATATGGCATTTTCAAAGGTCTTTAGTGTTTTAGTTATCCATTCCTGTACTCTCCCACCTGCCCTCCCATCCTACCTATGTTTTTTTTTTTTTTTTTTTGGTCTTTTTGAGACAGGGTCTCCCTGTAGCCCCAGTTGACCTGGAATACGCTATGTAGACCAGGCTGGCCTTGAACTCAGAGATCCACCTGCGTCTGCCTCCTGAGTGCTGGGACTAAAAGTGGACACCACCATGCCAGTCCTCCTCTATCTTTTCATTGGAAAATCAAGGGCTTCCCTGTCAACTCCTGCTTTAGTCTAATTAGCCAGGCCTTAGTCACATGACCATTTCTGGCTATAAGGAAACCTGGGAAAACAGAACAGGATCCATTGCCTGAGGCTTCTGTACCTCCCAATCTACAGCTGCCATATAGAGTACTGGCTTCAATGATGCCTTCCCAGACAACTCCAAACATTTCATCCATTGTAATATAGACCTTTAACTCAATCTTAACCTCCTCTCTCTCACAGGTGTGCTTATCTATTGATCATCCTCAAAAGGTCTTAATTATGGGAGAAGCTCTGGACCTGGGGACCTGTAAAGCCAAAAAGAAGAATGGAGAGCCGTGTACACAGATAGTTAATCTGGTGAGTCTCAAATTTGTTAGCCTGATTTTTGCCAAAGAAAAGAATCATTAAGAACAACTTTAGGTGCTTTAATGGTAATGACCAAATAGGAACTGAGTTTGCTGCTTCATAGGCAGAGTCAATAAGAGAATTGAATGTGTGGTCAGTAATTGCCAGGTTAAGAAGCTGAGGACTGACACAGGGGTAGGGAGGTCTTGACTCAGGAAAGTCATCTTTTATTGCCAGCTGATCAGGAGGAATTTCTTTATAGTTCCAGAGACCAAACACATTAATGAAATATACTAGAAACCTTAACTTATCCTGTAATTCCATTTTCCTTTTCTTGGAGCTTTAAAAACAAACTTCACCGAGATACTATCCATATACCATACAAATCACCCTTTGAAATTAAAAGTGTACAATGCATTCACAGTTGTGCAGCAGTCACCACTATGTAATAATATTAGAATATTTTTATTACCCAAAACAAGCCTGTTCCTATTCGCAGTCATTCCTCAGCCCTGGCAAGTACCAGTCTGCTTTCTTGTCTCTCTAATATGCCTACCCTAAGTATTTCATATAATAGGTTCTGTGACTGGCTTCTTTCACCTAACATTGTCTAAGATTGCCCATGCTGTAGCATATAGCCACACTTCTCCCTTTTCGCTGTTGGTGGTGATTTGGTTTTTATCTTTAGAAGGGTTTTTTGTTTTGTTTTGTTTTGAAGCTGGTCTTATGTAGCTCAGGCTGATCACAAACTTATTTCTTACCTCCATCTCTTAAGTGCTAGGATTATAGGCATAGGCTACCGTATCCACGTTAGTTTCTTTGTTTGTTTGTTCATTTTGGTTTTTTGAAACAGAATTTCATTATATAGCCCAAGCTGGTCTCAAACTTATCCTTCTGCCTTCGTGTCTCCCAAGTACTGGGGTTACGACAGGTGTATGCCACCACACTTAACCACACAATTTTTTTATGGTTATATGTTATTCTATTATATGGCTAGACCACATTTTGTTTATCCATTTTTCAGGTAATAAACACAAGTTAATTCTACATTTGGCTATTATAGGTAATGCTGCTACAAATATGTATGTGCGAATTTTTATATGGATGTAAGTTTTCAGTTCCTTTGGGAGTACAATTAATGAATGATATGGTAACTTTGTATTTAGGCTTTTGAGGATCTGCCAAGCTGGCTTACAAAGAATAACTTAAACAGTGGCATATTCACCCTAGCAATGTGTGGGAGTTCCAGTTTTATCCTTGCCTATACTTGTTAGTGTCTGTTTTTGTTTTTTGTTTATTATAGCCATCCTAGTAGGAATGAAGTGTTTCATAGAGTTCTTTAAAACAATTGAATGAAAAGTTTGATTAATCTCATTTCATCTCCCTCATTCCTTCATAGTACATGAGCTAGTGAGCAAGAAATGGAAAGGAAAGCCAGGCATAATATTGCTTGCCTTTAATCCCAGCAGAAGCAGGTGGAGCTCTGTGAGTTGAAGACCAGCCTGGTATAAATATCGAGTCCCTGGCTCAAAAACAACCAACATACATATATACGTAGGGTGGGTGGATGGATGGATGGATGGATAGATGAGAGAGAGAGAGAGAGAGAGAGAGAGAGAGAGAGAGAGA